GATTATCGAATTTTAACACATAACTTACTCACATTAAACTATAATAATAGATTCTATGACACAAAAATAACCAATAGAATTAAACATTTTGGCATTTACAGGGTTTCTCAATTAAAATATTTTTTGATTATTAATCAAATATTGAGCGATAATTTGCCATCAATAATCAATCTCAATTTGGTGATCGATACCCAACCCTAGTAGAGAATAATACTAATAACCTAGACCATAGTCACTGATACAATTTCATTTGATTGTAGATAACAAATATGCTTCTGTAAAGTGATACATATAGCTAAATTGATGTATAAGCTGGTAAAGACTATAGACATTGAACATTAATATTTCAACAACCTTGAAAGATAAGACTTGCTGACTAAATCCTTTAATAATACACTACTATAAATATATGAACAAACATGTTTATAACAAAAGACAAGCTATAATATGACTAAATCCTTTAATAATACACTACTATAAATATATGAACAAACATGTTTATAACAAAAGACAAGCTATAATATAACTTACTTTATTATAAAGATGTATATAATTAGCTCTTGACCTACATAATTTAATTAATTTTAATTGACCTTTAGCTAGATTCTCATCAACAGTGTGGGTCTTGTCCCTGAAATGGTAAAAGGGATAATGTTCAACACATTTAACTAAGTACTTCTTGAACTTCATATAACAGACCAAAGCTTGCTATCTCTTATGACATAGCCTTCTGTTATCAGGAAGTTACACTATGGAGCCTTGTTAATAAGGAATTTTCAATATTTATAAATGTCTGGGCTCTTAGTTTTATTTTTTTTTCACTAATCCTTGCTACTAATCAATTCATATGTATAAAGACCATTCCTAAGCTAAGCACAAAACTTGCTGTGAAAATGACAAATTGGCAGAGGCCATGTTCTTTTATGTATGATTAAAATCAATTGTAAAATGAAAGAAATGTGGATACCTGCATAACACTTATTTATGGATTTTAATGCCACTGAAAGTGCTTTTGAAAGAAAGAACCTAAATCAAAACCTTCAAATGCTTCTCCTGTCACACAGATATGAACCATTTGTGATCTCATACAGACTTTAAAGAGTAGCAGGTCACCAGCAAACACGAAGAAAATACGAAAAAAGTGATATCAGTTTTGATTCTGGTGACCACCACACAAGGTCTGGTGTTTCTCACACTTATATCATGCTTATGGTAACCTTAACATGCACTGCAACAATTTTTGGCGGTGACCATGGCAGCATAGTTAGATTGACTTTCCTGTGTAGAGAGACTTAACATGTATATTGGCAAATATATTACCTGAGTTTTTTGATTGCCTGACAGGTATGTAACAATTGCTCTTGTAATTCATCATGTGATGTCATAGCATGGAAAAAGGCATCTGACTTGACAGAAATTTGTTTGGCTATCTGCACTTCTACTATATCTAAATAATGGCTTAACTGAAATAATAAACGAAATTAACAATAATAATAGGTAATAAAGATTCAATGAGATGAAGTTAATAAATTCAATTTTTATCCACTGTATATACTAGATAGTAAATATACACCTTTTCCTTAATAACTATAGCTCATCTCTATAAGACTACACTTTTTTTCTATACAAAACATCAAAATGCAAATGGAATTGCAAGAATCAAAGATGTCTGGCAGACATTAGGAATGCTGCAAATCAATGCTATTATTGTCCCGAATGCAAATACAAAGTTTAAGAAACAAATTTTGCATTTTTTAAATAAAAGAATTAAGAGAGAAATTGATGAATGGCTTACCTTTTCTTGTAGTAATTTAGAAGATTGTCTAGTAGTATTATTATCAGAATTAGAATCTATTAACCAGGGAAATACAGCACTAAACGTGTCCAGGTTTTCAAGACTAAAATTAGGTAACATAAATAACTGAAAAATAAGAATCAAAATCATTTAAAATAATTGTAATACCAGTAATTCCCTGTGAAAATGATGTCATGATAAAGCGGACATCATTATGACGTGTATGAAATTTCTCATCTTTCCAAAAATTTACTCATTTTCAGTTAAAATTTTCTATAAAATGAATATGCATTTTTGATTGTAAACAAATAGCTATCAATATTATATCAATGTTTCAAATATATCATTCCAGTCTTTTGAGCCTTTAATTCATAATCATTTCTAGAGGCAAAAGGTAAAATCTCCCAGTTGAAATGATTGTAAAAAAGTTTTCAATGATATTAAGTGATTTTGTTAAGGTTAGGTAAGGATGGCCATATGGTTTCTAATGCCCATCTTTTTGATGATGTAACTAATTGCAAAATATGCTTTATCATGGCCCTTTGCAATTAGTGATGTCTTCAAACACTTAGTTTAAGTGGAATTGCAGGAACCACAGACATTTAGAAAACATCTTTACAATCCCTATAAGAGGTTAATGATTCTAAAGAAAGTGATCCTTGCCCAATGAACCTAACGCACAAGATTACATGTCAAATAGTTTTTATGAAGATGCTGTTTGACAGGAATTTCAAATCATCTGTACACTATATCTTATTTAGTCTTCATTTATTTGAAGTAGAAATTCTATGTACGGTCTGAAAAGCCTCAAATAATGGGGCTAGCAAAATAAAACAAATCATTATTAAGCATCTGTTTTCATCAAATAAAATATCACACTTAAATGTAGAAATCAAAACAGAACCTGAAACATGTTGTTACTCACAGTTTCATGCTGTGTGATTTTCAGACAACTGACCTATTTCAGCATCACATATTTCAGACTGAAATGGGTCAGTTGTCTGAAGATTGCACAGATTAACAACATGTGTCTGGTTTTAATTTTTCTATATCACTCTAAAATTGACGTACATGTATCGAGCACTTTTTTTAAAGTGAATATATTTTGTTATTGTATTATTCAACTGAAGTATATTTGAAAATTGAAAATCTTACCTTTGGAACTTGATTTAATTCCTCTCTGTTCTTTTCTGAAAAAAAACATAAGGAAGAAAAAAATGAAAGCTATCTGATTAAAATTAAGCTTAAAACATGTATTATCTGCAGTATACCTGACAAGTTCCTTTATTAATTCTGATGAGATTAAATGGAAATTTTGTGATTTGTTTGATATTTTTGTTCAATGATCAATTTCTACACAACGCATGTTCTAGGTCATTACATGTAATCACCTAATCAGCAAAGTATTTACAAACTACAGGAAAAATGGCATATTCACTGTATAACACTGATTTGTATTATAAGTCCACAATTACTTACCTAATTCTTTAATATTATGAGAAGGATATGTGTCTTTTTCTTCTTCTTGTGCTAATCTTTTCAAATTTCTCATATGTTTTCTGTGGCGCTGAAACCAAAGTGGCAAAGTTTAAGTTTAATTACTCCAATAAGAGTTCTAAGCATTTTTAATGCAATGTACAATGAATGCAATGTTAGATAAGAAAATCAGCACAAACCTTCTTATACCTGGGTATTTAAAATGTGCACAGTATCTGATTCTATCTAACAATGAGTTTTATGACAAGAAGCACTGATAAGAAGCATTTTTTAGTTTAGCCACACTAGAAATGGAGAATTATTCAGATTTTGTCCAGTATCATACATATACAAATGTATTTTAAAACCCAGCAAAAAAAACTTATTTTAGACATGGCTAGATAGATGGCTTAGATGACTATAAACCAAAACATCTGTCTCAATTCCAGTCTCTGTTAGCTATTTGGATAGGTGTCTTGTTGGTGTAGAGACAGAAAAAATAGGTCCTGTAAAATGGGGACTTTCCGCATCTCCGCAAGTGAGAGTTTCAAACAACTTTTGGATACCTCGTATCTGCCAAATCAAGATTTATTTGGTAAGGTGAATTTTTGTAGTTCAGTCATACCATCATATTCTCCTTATCATTTATGTCATGTTTCCGGTTCAATCAAAGTTTTATTTAACAAAAATGATCTCGCACCTGCCATTTAAAAAAAAATTCAAAGGTCACAGAGTCAATTGATACTAACAAACGAAAGTTGCGATGATGTCCAACACTAATTTACAATCATCTTAAAGGTAATTCAATATTAGAAAAAACGCCCATTTGGAGGTGTGGAAAATCCCCATATAACAGGGCATATTTCTTCTGACTCTACTCCAGGAATAAAGGGATATTTTTCCGACTAAGATGACTACAGCTAATAAAACTTACAACAGAAGTCTTCTGTAAATAATGATCAAAATCATCAGGTGTAATTTCAGGGATGTAAGGTGAGGGATAAATTTCAGCATGGTCAAAGTCACTACCCCACGTTTTGGTGAAAAAATCAGTTTCTCGTTTAGCTAATCTGGGATTATTCAAGACAGCTGGTAGATTAACAGAGGCATTATATATAGTCCATTTAAACTGATCTTGTACAATACATGGCTCAGTATTAACAGATGACGCAGAATCTACACAAGGACTTATTCTTGCTACCACTTTATTCCTAGCTCCACCTGCAATTAGAAAGATATGACAATCGGCATATTAAATAGAGAAAAGGGTACAGCCTACAGCAAGATGGGCAAATAAGGCACAAACTAATCTAGATGGGCAATAAGTAACAAACAAATCTGTTTGCACTTTGTAAACAAGATTTATGGTCAAATTGTGAACTTACTGTGCTTTGAATTGATTATATTTGCACTACATGCATAGAAAAACATATCCAAACTCGAGTCCATCAATGTCAACAGGTATTTATGTTTATTTATTGCAATTATTGGATCAATCAACAAGTAGTGAAATGACCTTTCATTTTCTTGAAATCCATCAGCAATTTAATTTTCACAGATTGGCAAGAACTTTCACACCGATTGAACAGAGTCCATGCCTTGACTAACCTCCATGCCTTGACTAGTACACATTAGCCTTGCACCTAGTCTGCCAAATGAAATGTGAACCTAAATATCAATATTATGATTAGTAGAGGGTACCTTTACAAACTGTGAAACTTACCTGTGCCACTATAAACATGATCTTTGGCTACATGGTCTTCATAATCTTTGTCACTTACACCATCAACAGGTAAAGACTGACAAACATTATTCATTCCGTATCGACAAACATACGACCCACCTTCCTTGGTACAATGGAAGTCTCTCAAATGTTGACAGAATTCTCGGGGAGATTTGAACACCGATGTCTGTATATCTTTACAATATAAACATTTTTTCCACGGTACTGGTAGCTTCAGTGAGTCCAATTTAGTCGACATGCCTAAAACTCTTCATGTGTAAGATATTTAATAAGAATTCGAAACAGTAATTGGAATGTTATCAACAAAAATACTGTTTTTCGTGAAAATTTATTTACATTTTTTTCCACCGGAAGTCAGTCGTGGCCATTTATTAATAGACGTCTTTGCGCATATAAAATAAGGACATGGACTTGCTGTCAAAAATAATTTAGAATCGTCGATTTTGATGAAATTGATTTTCATAGTCCATAAGAAATTTACCTTTGTTTTTTTTTTTTAAATTGATATACGTATAGTAGAAACACTATGCTACAGGTAAATTAAAGAAGCGCTCTCTGAATTAATGGATATATTTTTGTGGATATATTCTTGATGACTATTTGTTTTAAAGGAATACTACGTCTTAGAATGAACATATAATTTAAGTTCTCAAGAATTGTCAATATGAGTATTATATTCATCTGTGAACTAAGAACTTACCTGGTATCATAAAGTTACAACAAATTCCCCTATAAAATCGGAAAATTCATAAAACTAAGTCATTTTTAAAAAACCGCCTAATCTTGATATTAAGCCTTTTTCAATAGTTAATTGCATATTTATGAATAATTACTAAGTTTTTTTTGATTTATCACATTAGATAAGGATTCTGTTATGTTTTTTACGACACCAGGTATATCTACTGATGAATATGTGCTCTTATTGGCCAAGTTTAAAATTCTAAAATTTTATGTCCATTCTAAGACGTAGTATCACTTTAAATTCATAATCTTTGAACTGAACATTATGAAGAAAGATTTGGACGAACGATCATTACATGAATTGAGAAAAGAGAGATGGGTTGAAAATCACGAAAAAAAAATCGGAAAATAGATTCCACATTACAGAAGGGATTTTCTGCCTGTTTGCTGACAACGAAGAATATCAGAGTGTAAATAAAACAACTATCAACTTTTAAAAGACCACGCACTTTTTTCTTTATTCTGACATTTTCTGATTTTCTACGTCGTATAAAATATTATCAAACTTTGTACGTAGGAAGTAATTTGTATTAGCATGAATCACGTACGTAGAGGACCTACTATAATTCTAGAAAAACCTATCACAGTAATCGGAATATATTAACATTTCACTTTATCGTATCCAATGTGTTTACTGATATACATTGTACTTGGTAGCAGCCACAGGGACTCGATTTCACTTCACAAGCCTGATAATGGGTTATATTCTCGAAAAAAAACTTGCTGATTGTTTGGATGAAGCTTTTGGAGTGTTTACCTTTGACAAAAAATCCTTTCAAAGGTCACTTTTGCTTTTATACAGCAGGTGCAGGCCTTGGGAGAATGATTTGACTTTTATAATCTTTGTCTTAGCACACATCAGCTGAAAAGTGACGACTGTGACAAAGTCTCGCAGCCCCGAGGGCACGTTTTTCGGGTAAAAATCTCATAAATTGGTTAGAAATTCAGATATTCCCCCCCCCCCCCCTGGAACGCAAACCTGGTTCTGCCACTGGTCTGCAGTCGATTTTGTTGAACTTTTATTCATTCATTTATTTGTCCGCTGAGCACTGGGCTGAACTATTTCTGAGGCACTAGCTCATGCAAATACCCGATGGCAGTAAACTGACCAATGACAAGAGAAAATCTGAAATCTGACCGACACAATGTTCTGACCACTGTGTAAATTTATTACCACATTATCGAGGCCTTCCCTCTATTATCAAATCGTTACTATCATCATACTTGACCTTCTTTAATTAGAAATTTATTCAGAATTAAACTTTCGAGCAATGGTGGGAGGTTTTCACAATGAGAGAGGCTTTAGGAACCCTGATAGCTCTTCATCCTAACCAAAAAAGTCGACATGTTTGATGCATTGATTTTAAGTCCTAATTAAACTCTGGTTGATAAAGGCTAATAAAGAGGGACAATGTGATAAAGTGTGCAATGAGGAAAACCGTTTATCCAACCGACACAAAACAAACTTTTATGTAGGCCTATTCTCAAAGTGTGGCAAAAGGGCTCCTATCCTTACGACTTGAGTCCCTTTTACACACCATTGACAATTCCCACACTAGGTTAATAACCAATTCCGGGAAATTCAAAAGAAAACCAATTCTGACTTGAGCCAAGCACAGTTTACACGATGGATTCGAGTCGGAGAAAACCGATATGTATCTTCACACAAACTGAAATCTGAAATTCAAAGTCCAAAACAACAGCAAACTTCTTAGGACAGACTTTTGGGCACACTTGGGTGGGTGAATGACAAAGCTTGATGTACATGAAAACAGTAATCGTTCTCTGTCCATTGTACACGTCTGCTCAGGTGCATACATGCACACGTTCTAACAAAATAATACTGCTGTAAAATATTTAGCACCAATGATAGGAAATATATATACGCTCGTAATTGATATTTTACTTTTATACCGCGATATAATACATAATCGGTGTTATTTAATCTGCAATTTGAAGGCAATCGTGTCCGTTATCATTTTTAAATCGTATTGGCATATGAAAAAACAATATTATACAATTGTTGACCTTTAAAGAGGCATATTTCTGAGCTTGTCGGTGCTTCGACTATCTGAACTGAACTATAATACACACACACACACTTTCAAAGTTTTTATAAATTTACAAAGTGAAGGCATATACTGTGCTAATTTTTGTGGCTGTCGGTCCCCTCACCTAATTTTTCTTAGAAACGCCACTTACTACAGTCGTCTGATTGAAAACTGGAATGGTGCAAATCGATGCTACCAGTTTCCCCGATAGCCTTCACACAAAAAATTAGAAAACCTCTTTACAGTCCCTTTAAAGCAATTGCCCTCTTTATGCACCAATCATTCTTACTGTAGTAATTGTATTCTGCACTGCTTGACATCATATATCGCTTGAAGTCGCATTAAGTGAGTAGGATGAGATGCTGGACATTAAGTAATATTTTGGAATTAGTATGCACATATCTGCCCACTGATGTTATTTCACCCAGAAAATGAACCAAACGGACCTATTTGTGGATTTGTCTTCAAAGCTCACACTAAAGGTCAAAGTTGCTGATATTTGGTACAGGTTTGATAATAACAACAAATTGGACGATGGAATTATTTGTTTTAACACTGTGGTTTGGTAAGTACATTGTCTTACTATTTCCATTGAAAAGGGAATGTGAAGGGTTTGATATTTTTTAGAGGATTATTCTCAATCTGTAACGATTGCTAAAAGGTTTTGCAAACCAGTAAACCGGTACAATGCAGCACGAATTTATATTTTAAACAATGGTTTGTCATGTGAAATGAAAAGTCTTTTTTTCAATGATGCAGGACATATGAAGTGCATCAATTATTCATTGATATGACACATTTGGTCTAGATATGTTGATTAGAATTGAATTCTTTTGCTTTTGAAAATTCCATATTTACTTGAAATCGAAGCTTTTTGGCAGTCGGGTTTTTGCACATCTCTATAATGTCGTCTGGCTCGAATGGTGTTGTGTGCTCTGTGTAAATAACGAACATAAAAGCCTCACACAGCCAGGTGACAACTGGTTGACGATTATGTACTTTTGATCCAGCTGCCAACTCCTTTCATATCGTATTTCTATTTTTATTGTAGGGATTCTCATTGTGTCCACAGAAGCAGCAATTAAAGTTGATCCAAGAACTAGACTGAGGAGATGCTTTTCAAATTCATTTCGAAATAGACGACGTTCTGTTGAGGATGACAAACCCATTTCGTTGAGAGAAGTACTTGATTTTGAAAAGAAGTTGGATTTCAGTCCGCAAAATATCTTCAAGTCGTCACAGGGGAACACTATTATCAAGTTCAAAGAGACCGTTAATGGTAAGAATGTATTTGATGGAGAAGTAACCGCCATGTTAGATAAAAATGGCGTCGGGATTGACGTATCTGGTTTGTTTTTCGAAGACATCAATGCCAAAGAACTAAATGACCAACGAAAAATATCCATCACAGAGGCATTTAAATTGGCAAAGCAGATTCATGGTCACACAGGCGAAAAGATTCACCGGTTTTCGCATGAACTGGATATATTCATTGGAAATGACTCAATTTCACATTTGGCTTATTTTATCGATTATTTCGTTGTGGTTCAAAATATTCCTCAGAGACCGATCACTGTAGTCGATTCTAAAGATGGAAAAATTCTTCTGAAATTCAACAATTTGGAAACTTGTAAATACTCGAAAACGATTTATGGAGGGAACCGGAAACTTGGAAGAATCCCATACAGCCACTTTTTCAACTGCCAAAATGTGGACAGAGAGGGCAATATGTGTTCCCTTGAAAATGAGTTCGTTCGGGTAATTGATATGAACTCTACTGTGAACGATAGTATCACCGAAAGTGCAACATTTAGGTGTAACGAAACGTATATAGATTCTGTGAACGGTGCGTATTCTCCCGCCTTTGATGCCTTTTTCTATGGTACTACTATAGCACGCATGCTTCACGAATGGTACGACGTAACACCAAAACGTAGACCATTGTTACTGCGGGTGCATTATAGCAAAAATTTAACGGATGCGTTTTGGGATGGACGTTATTGTTCATTTGGGGATAGTGAGAAAAATAAGTTTTATCCTATGGTTTCTATGGACATCGTCGCTCATGAAATAGGCCATTCCATAACAGAGCAGTATTCAAACTTGCTGTATATGGGTGAATCAGGAGGCATAAACGAGGCCTTTTCCGACATGATGGGCGAGACTGCTGAGTATTACGTTGGCATGTTGGACTGGATGGTAGGGTATTATGTAACCAGACAGCAAAAGGCATTGAGGTATTTCGACGATCCCACTATGGACAATCGGTCAATAACTCACATAAGGGATTACTATGAAGGTATGGACACTCACTCGAGTAGTGGAATATTTCGAAAAGTGTTTTACGACCTCGTGAAGCGTCATCACATTCCAATCAAAAAAGTCTTCCAAGTGTTTCTGCACGCAAATCAGATCTATTGGCATAAGATGAGTTCATTTGTGAGTGCGGCTTGTGACGTCATGAAAGCTGCTCTGGATTTGGGAACTTGGGTCAACCGGTTTGCTAAGGCCTTTCGGCAAGTCGGAATCGAAGGTTGTAATGTGGAAGAACACATATTTTGGTTACGAAGTGACGAAGTGTACAGTGACATCTACGTTTCAGAAGACACAAAGCCTCTCTTTGGATTTTCTGCTCCGCCTTGGGCGCGAAAAATACTCATAGAAACCATGGGAGACGTTACAATAGATATAACATTATACCATGCCGGTCTGCTCTCGGAAGAGTACTACATTTTAAAATCAGACATAAACTTTTTGGAGTATGATATTAATGGCAGTGAAGGGAGCCATTATTTCATTCAATTGGGTTCATCTCAAGAGGAAGTGACATTAGGTGTTCGCATTAGAGTACGTTATGAATGTGTGGAAGTGTATAAAACTGAAGATATATTAAACTATTTAAATTACCAAAAGGACTGTAAGAAAGGTCGTTTTTTTGTCAGTCAGAAATTATTTTGATTCAAGTTGTGTAAATGGAATTTATAAAATTTTGAGTAGGAAAAAGAGATTTATTTTGAATTTTTCTGTCATATACAACTACCACAATAGCTCACGATGTTAATTATTTATCAAACATCAAATAACAATATTATGAGGTCTGGAAAACAAATTTCTAAAAGATAATGTTTTTCATTGGTGGATGTTATTAGTAACCCATAGACAATTTTAAACTCTCACTAATATTTTGGGGAAAATATTGATGAATGTCTTTTCTAAAGCTTATTTGGTTTGGTAGTATTGCTAGGGTTCGAACGAGACAACTTGACTAGCCGATTGGCTATATATGGGTCAACGCACGTGCATGTATTTCCGTAGCTCGATTATGCTTCCCTGTCATTAATAATTATTGAAATTTGATTTACCAACAACAGGAGAAATTGGCTCGGCTGTGATATGCATAAAATAGAATACATGTATGACTTGAGTAGAACAATTGGTAGGACAAACCTGTATCATGTGATACACAATCCACCGCTATGACATCACGGCGGATCTCTCCTACTGCCATAAGACAATGGGCTCGTCACTAGCCGATTGGCTATATCTAGATCAACGCACGTGCATGTAATTGACAAGAAAGACGATAATATAGCCATGAGTTTGAGAGATGTTTTCAGTTTTGCTGATCATTCGTAAGTTTACTATTCTTATATTATTCATCATCTTTGTTAATATTGATATAGGTTGTAAATGCTCACATACAACAATTTAGAAATTGATTACAGGGCAAAGGTGAATGAGTTCGGGATACGAATGGAAGTATAAGCCAAGATATAGGTATAATTCATAATTCCAATTTTCTAGTAGGGAAGTGTGTCTATTTCAAATATGAAATCAATGAATCTTATATTACTATGGACCTGAAGACATTCTAAGACAAATGACATAAAGTTGAAAATTTCATTTTGAATATTTATGAAATTATAGAAAAAATTCAATTCAAAGCTCAATGTGGTCAGAGAGTAATTTCTCTTCAGGTCTTGACGCCCCCTCCATATTGTGTTCAAAAGGAAAAGTTATGCTTAATTTAAAATAAGTTTTAAAAAGATAATAACAACATTAAAGTGAAATAACAATCAAATGGATAAAAAAACAATATTTTTGTAAGGTGAAAAATTTGAAAGATAATGTGTAATAATTTATAATTTAAAAAGTTAAATATATAATTTGGTATTCAATGCCATTTCATCATTTCATTTAATCAACCTTCATTGACTATCTATTTCATAATATAGACAACAATACAACTTGCATATTTCTTATAGTATTAGCTTACAACTGGTATGGCATCTTAAAGAGATTGTAAAGAGGTTTTCTAAAACAAATTATGTGTGTCAGGGACACTGATAGCATCATTCCAATTTTCAATCAGACATATATGGTTCCTGCAATTCTACTAAAACTGAAATTGAAATGGTGCAAATTGATGCTATATGTCCCCGATACACGTTTTTTTTTTTAGAAAACCTTTATACAACCCCATTAAGTTCTCAATGGTAGAAGTAGCTGAGGTTAAAATGTAGAACTGATATCCCCTTTCAAGTAAACAAGCTCCAGAAATTATTTAAATTTCATCAATAATTCCATTTCATTATAAGGCCGAATGTGGGATGTTGGGTCATCCGAAATGGCAAACAATCATTGAAAAGCAAAGTTTCCAACAGCATCTCATTTCTGGATATATGCCTCTTCTAAAGAACGAAATCACTACTACAATTCCCCATTGTCCAAGTAGTCCCTATCAACTCGACAGTAAAGGGACTAGTCCATAACAATCAGACAACCGAAAAGCAAGAATTTTACCAGTAAATTGTAACAAGTAAATCACAGTCTATGTTTATCACGAATTTGCATCTCCTTGAATTTAAAATGACCTGAAGCACAACCATGGTATATTGCCGGAAGAAAACACAAATGTTTAAAAAAAAATAAAGAAAAAATGGCGGATATTGGAATGTTTCGGAACAGATTCACGCTGACATATCCGTAGAGTTTTTTGGTTTGTTGTCTTTCCAAGTGAAGATTTCAAATGTATTATTGTACATATGGGAACTAGAGCTCCGCCAAGGCACTCCCAAACAGCTTTATGTATTATTCTGTAGTCGTAGTTGTAAAAACCGGACGCCTGAATGATTACAAAATTGAGAAAAAAACAGTTTTCAAATAATATCTAAATCTCTATCTTTGATATGCAATTTTTTCTCGTCGCCATCTTTCTTCACGTTCACATTGTCTTCATTTGAAGTCTTTGAAGTGGACGAGTTCCGGTGGTTACTTGTACGACCACTAGACATTGTACCACTGCCTTCTTGTGGTGGAGAAGGTGATGTTTTGGGAGAAACTGTTTTTGGGGAATAATTGTCACTATTAGAGGAAACGGTGTCGTGCGGTGAGTTATATTTAGAACTAGGATAGGTGGAGATAAAAGAATAACTTGGAGTGGACAGCGGTGAAAAGAAACGAATAATATCACACATTTGGGCGTCTATTCGGTTAATTTTTTGATTGATCATATCCAGGTCCTCGCGAATTTCCAACTTGATGTTGATCATTGACGTTATCAGATGTTGCTCGGCTGACGTCAGCCCTCCTTTACTTGTAGGAAAACGCTCTTCTGTCTCTTCAACTTCGTCCAAACGATTGTTGCTCTTTAAAAAGCCACTATCAACTGATTCTGTTTTATGAAGATTTGATTTCATGCCCACGTTATTCGCTTCGCATGTGGAATCAATTTTATTAATGATATTCCATTTGTTGGTTTCCGTCTTTTCTGGAATAGTTGCATTGGTGCCGGTAAGATCATTCGTCGAGGCACTATTCCGTCCGATTTTGTTCAAAAATTTTCCCCAATTCGCCGGGCCGAGAGTATCGGATGACTTCTCTTTCATGAAGTTGGATAACGAGGGTTTTGGTTTGTGACCCATTTCTTCGTCTCCTTCTTTCTCGGTATGTTTGATGTCCGTTATTTTCCGGAATCTGGATATCAGTTTACGGACTGGATGGTCGTTTGATAAATCTAATGGCGGATCATTTTTTCTTCTCTCAGCTAGCTCCTTCTCTTTCTTCATATCGGCCACTTTTCTAAATATCATCTGTAATATACAAATAAATTCATAAATAATGGTTCGCGGACATAATGAGTCACGCACAAGAAAAAAATTGTTGAGAAGAGACGCCAGTACGAAGATCTTCCGTAGCTTTACAATATGCCGGTTCAGATCCATACCACCACTCAGATATGATTGGATTTTACATTTGCAGATTAGTAAAGCAAAAATATCCACATATTACAACAAAAATCTCGAGGATTATGTTTACCGGCTGCCTCTTGGTCTAATCTCTTTATATTTATCTGTAACCAGATTGCCACCACCCATTTAAAGCTTGGCTTGTAATGAATTAAAATTAATGGAGTTTTACGTCCTACTTCACTTGCACCGTCTGCACCTGATTCCGTGGGCTAATAAGGACGAATAAGGCAAGAATAATGGCATAGTCCGAAAGAAATATTCGATCCAAGATCATCATTTAACTTACCCTGTGGCGAAGATTATAAGTCAGTATCATGTTCCTGGAGAAAGAATTGGCAAAGGCGTGATAGAAATCAAGCACTTCCAGTAACTGGTCTCTTTTTATGGTATGTAGATCACAGTACGTTAGAGCTCTAACGTTAGCCATTGACTGACCAATACCAGTTTCCTTCCAAAAATGATCACCAAACACATCACCTTTACCTACAATAAAGTTACACAATGATAAAAATTCATAAAACTTGGTTTTCAAAGAAACCGCTATATAGCTAAGCTATATACATTGTAGTTATACATAGCTGCCTGGAATGCATGGTATAATGTTAACTCTAATGGTTGAACGATCATTTATAAAAATATTTCTTAAAGAACCCCAGGGGGTTAATCTTTTAAAAACGATAGTCTAGAAATTTCAAAATTAGAATAAAAAAATGTTCATGGATATACCAGTTGAAAAGAAAGACTATTTCAAGCGAGTTCTGTTTTGGTCAATGTTCGACAAGTTTCAATGAAATTGGGCTCAACGATTATTAATGGTATGATTTGCTCTATTCTTAATTATTAAAAAAATCAAAATATTTTGCTTTAATGTATCCGCACAATTCTTGTAGTACTAGAATACAAGTTATATCCCTTTATATTCAAATACTGAATTTGAACTGATGTGATCATCTTTAGTTACGGAGCTAAGCAATATACACGTTACTGCAGTAATTAATTAACGTATAGAATTCTGTGGAGACTGCCGCAACATTGTTGATAATCTTCCAAATACCTAGTCATGTAACTTGTTGGACTGCGAAAATGCAATACAAACGGTCTTTACAAAAATGCAATAAAAATACATTGGACATAATGCAAAAGGCAGTAATACTAAAAGGAAAATCAAAATTATGGTCCTACTTTTCCACTGGAGGACATTTAAGTATAGGTCTACTTACTTAAAATAGCAACAACTTCTTCATCTTGGATAACTTCCAAAGAACCGGACACAACAAAACACAAAGCATCTAAACTTTCCCCAGAGTGAAATATCAAATCACCCGGAGCGCTATGTGTCATATTGAAATGCATAGCTAGAGCTCTAAGACAACCATCGCTAGCTAGTCTGAAGGCAGGATGTTCAAGAAACACTTTTCTGTTTAGATGGACGCATAAATCTGCTTTCATGTCTTTTGGACAAAAATTAAGTACCTGTGAAGAAACAATACATAACGTCATTGATCTCCATGTTAGAGAATGCGTCAATTTAAAATACATTTTCATATTGCGAAACATTCTAAAACATAATATGGTGAAAATATGATCAAGGAGGTATATGATATATCTTAAGTCTAACGGGGTTCCAAACCTTTTGGACTACTTCTAGTGATGGAACCCGCTTTTTAGTGGACAGATTCCTTTAACAATTTCAAATCAAAATTTGTCAGCCGATGTCAGATGTGCCAGCTAATGACACAATATTGGGGTTTCGCGAGATTTGGACGACATTTTGATAGTGATACTACAATATGATTTCAGCCTACTTACTTTAGTTGCATCAATGCCTTTAGTGATAGCCCAAGTTGATACAATATAATCCATAACTCTTTCACTGAGTGATTTCGGTACATCATGTAACTTCATAAACTCTCGTACACTATTCAGCATATCATGGTATCGAGCAAAACTTGCATAAAATTGTTGAAATATTGTTGTCACGTTGGAGAAAATGGTGGCATACAACAATGCTAGAAAGATAACAGAATATGTATAGTTACGTATATAAACAGAATATGTATAGTTACGTATATAAACAGAATATGTATAGTTACGTATATAAACAGAATATGTATAATTACGTAAATAAACAGAATATGTATAGTTACGTATATAAACAGAATATGTATAGTTACGTATATAAACAGAATATGTATAATTACGTATATAAACAGAATATGTATAGTTACGTATATAAAAGATTATTGAAACAACATAAAAAAAAATGTGAAAATCGACAGAAAGGATAACATCCAAGTGATTAAAGGATATCAATAAAGCTGCTTCACCAGTTCATCAACGGAGACTTCCCAAGAAAAAATTCTTATTGTTTTAGAATACGAAAAATTGTGGGCTACTGTTGAATACAGGTTATGTTTGTGCTTTCTCATTATTTTAGTTCAATGAGATTCGGTTGTTTCGATTTTGTTCCACGAATCAAGTAGTTCAACAGCAAAACAAGTGGTAGAGACAAATGACACTGGAAGTTGTTGGTGGTTTTCACGACCATAGCTGATTATGTAACATCGATTCCCATAGCAATTCTGGTTTCAAAATTCAAAGATTTTACATACTCGTACGAAGCTTTCAGGGCTTTGCTAGCCCTTAAATTGTGATCGACCGCATTATTAGAAAAATTCACTATTATTTTTGGTGCCAAATGGACATAAAGCGTTCGGCTATATTTGTAAATTTGTCAGGTAAACCGCATAATAATTGTGTACTACTTACATCCAACAATCATCATGAAGGCAGAGAAAAGCTTTTCAGTTTTGGTATTAGCAGCCACATTTCCAAATCCCACTCCAGTCATACTCGACAGTGTAAAATACAACGAAGTGAGATACTTCATTTCAATATCAGGACCTCCCACAAATTTATTAGTCACATTATTAAAAATGAACGGTTCTTCAGTGGTGTTTGCCAGATGAGGCAGCCATCCATAGTAGATATGACCACGTAGTTCAGCAGATCCAATTGAATACCAGATACAAGCGAACCAATGGGCAAATAATATGAACACGAGTATAAGTAAGATCAACATAGCAGCTCCATACTCCAAATAATGATCAAGCTTCCTTACTACTCTTCCCAGACGCAGCAAACGCACAACTTTAAGAGCACTGAAGAGGGTACTGATTCCCTGAAATAAATGGAGATCAAATTTCTTAATTTCTTGAGACAGTCGGCAAAGTGACAATTAGATTCAGACATCTATGGTCCACTATCAGTACAAAGGGGTTCAAGTGATATACCTGAATAGGACCTAATGAAGTCAAAGGCAATGAACATTACTACCAATGTGCATTCTCTTTATGCATGTCGAGATGCTTATGTCATCATGTGTTACGTAAGGATGATCTTTCTTTGTATCTTTGGTCAGAAAATTCATCAGCAGTATTAATCTATACGTAGAGGTCAGTGCAGAAGCATCGGAAGCAAGAGGTACTTACATCATCAACATATTGGAAGGCATTAAACACATCATACGGTAGACAGGATAACAGATCAATTACAAACCAACTCTTCAGATAATGCATTCGAATCACTTTAGGGTCCGATATTACTTCACCACTTGGGCCCACAAACGACGTGTGGAAATTGAGCACTATGTCCACAAAGAAAACCACGTCCACCATGCTGTCGATCACAAGCAAGGGCAACTGATCCATAGTTTTTATTTTAAATGCAGCATTAAAGGGGACCATTATGGCGGTGTAGAATGTAAGGATCAGTATGATCCAATCCCAGATAGTTTTAAATAAACAGTAGTGTAGGATTATGTGTGGCGGGGTTTTAGGTGCTTCTAAACGATATTGTGGTAAAACATCAGCATTTAGGTTCATCATCTGAAAAATGTAAGTGATCATTATTATTGTAATGAATGGAAGCAATTCACGTTGCTAATTGGTATTCAGAACTTTGATTTCTGATAACTTTTTGGAATTTATTTACGATCTAAAGCTTTATTCAACCGGCACGGAAATGGGTGTTAAAATAACTTCGATTGTCATCAACAAAATCTAACTACAAGAAGAAGCTACAAGGGAATAGAAGCAACCAAGAGAGTTTGGTGCTGGCTAGTACATTTGTAGATTCCAGTATCTTAAGTTGGAAACTTTAGATTTCGGGACATATTTTGAACTTTCACCCTTGTACTTGCCATCGATTACTTTATTTGAGCCCAGAAAGACGCATGTCGTTACATACTGTCACACGAAAGAATAAGACGTAACCTCCTGTTCATTTAAATATTCTCAATTCAATTCTATTTCTATTACATCGTTATGTCACGATAGTTCAATTCAGGGCAGTAGTGGGACTGAATTGTTTGGAGGGGCAAATAATATTAGAGGAGCAAGGGTTGCAATAATGGAATTGGTCAGTTGTCAGAATTTTTTCAGGGGGAGGGCAATTTAATTTTTAACGCCCCCCCCCCTCCCATTTTTGCACCCTGTATCTTCGGGTCTGTTCTAAGAATATGACTGTGGTGTTCGACGTTTCAATTTGACAATTGTATTCCAGTTCCATCATATGTAGATTGTAGCAAGCAGAAAATAGAAACGGGACAGTCGTTATGTGTTTTAAGTTGTTACAAACCGTGGCTATAGGTGATGGTTTTGAATTGTCGAACTTTGTATTTGGAATGTTGGATGAGAACTGTAGCAGTGTTGATCGATTTCGGGTCACTGATCGTGCTAATCTTGCAAATTTACTTAAACCTGTTAAGATATGAAAATATAACATTGATTATTTCTTATCAAATTACTAAGAACAGCATCCGAAGCTATGCCATGTAGCTATCATGATTATGGCATGCCATCTACATCGAAACTATCTTGCACTATTTAAAGTTAGCAGAATGTAAGTGGTGCCTAATATAGATAGGCATGTCAAAGTGACCGTTTAACAGCCAATCTTATTTATTTTTGAGATAAATGTGGAATTTCAAAAATAGTTATTGGCATGTTTACAATGTGCAACCAAAATATGGCATGGTTGGTTTTACACAGAATTATTTCCAGAGTATTTAATGTGTCTTTCTGCTGCATTTTCAGTCAATCAAAGACATTTTTATTAAAAGGCCCCATATCCTGACTAAACCCAAGGAGTTTTCATCGGCTACTGAATCTAAATCATTTCAATATTTTGAATAATCGAATGATCAATTCGAAATTCGAATAATCGTGTTTCAAATTCAAGCAGTTACCTTTTCCACTTTCATCATCTATAGGCTGTTTTAAGGCTGTTATGTCTTTAAAGGTACACAGAAATAACACAACTTGATCCTTCTCGTTTTTAATAGGAGCGACATATAACATTAACCATAACGGTGTTCCTAAATGAAGGAGATAAGCAAGGTTTTTAAGATACTAAAGTGCATTCCCTGTATATAGCATTAAGTACAATTGTGGGTATTAACCACGCCATTTCACAGGACAAGCTGTTGCTTGGATTCTGCGAACATATAATTATGTTATTTGATCGTTTTCGTCATTATTCAAGACGCATTACTAGTAATGGATAACCCAGGGAAGGTTAATGCCAAGAGAATAGATCAAGAACTAGCCCGTAAATGCCACCGGAAAATGAATTTAAAACATAGAAATACGTACGGTTTTTCTTGTATAACAGGATTTCCACATGTTCTTGTTCAAGACTTTCAAACGCATCTTCCAGTTTGGCGATGGTTTCATCATCAGTGAGATCTCCATACATAAAGCTACATGTACTGCTCTTCTGCATAACCTCAGCTCTGTTGTATCCAGATAGCTTACAAAACCCATCATTACAATATACAATCGGATAGTCGACTATTCTAGCATTGGCCAAAAGAAAGCTGTTATCTGCAAAATAACAGGGAAAGATTTTAAGATTTATGAACAGTGTAAAAGTTGTGCCATAAGCAAGTGGTTTCTGTAATTATGTTTCCACACAAGGTCAAGGCTTCTACAGTCTATACGAAATGACTGTAATTACTGTTAGGTTTTCAAGACAGAAATTTAAGCCAAATTCGAATAATTTCACCATATATATAAGCATATACATGGTGCTAAGGTAGAAGAGCTATAAATGACCTGGGTAGAGGTGAGGGTACAAATTATGATAAGTATTATTTTGTATACGTTTGTGCTCCAAAATATGTTTTCTTGTGAGAACCCGCTCAGACGCTCCATGAAAGTCCTGCAAAGGCGGCTCAACAGAGTTCCCGCATATTAAAAACAGTCTCGACAGTTGTCCCAATATTGTGTCAATCTGTCCTCTCTTTCTGCCCCAGTCTTGGAAGGCTAGCAACGCCCCCTTTGGGGGGGGGGGGGGGGGGGTGCATATTTAATACGCAGTATGTGAATGCCGCATCACGTTTTTTACTGCATATTTTTTCTTTCTTAACTTATAATATTCTTCTAGATGAACATGTCACTGTTAGATTAAGCTAATAGTCAATTATTGATTTGTAAGAAACTATTTTTCATCTCAATTGTCAAGGATCTAAATGATGTTTTTCAATCCGAAACAAAGATTGGGAATAATGTTGTCACTTGTTTGTCAGATAAACGTGACGATGTTATTATGGCCTAACAAATAGTGACCATCTTGACTAACGACAAATATATTTTGAAATGAATATACATGAACTAGTAAACGTGACTGTGTTTTTTAAATTCATGCACCAGATGACGATGTTATTATGGCCTAAC